GTCCGCCGTCCCCACCGCGTCGCCGGAGCCGCAGCCCGAGTGCAGTCCGGAGGCGCCCTCCGCGCCCGCCGCCGAGTAAGCGGACGAGCGCTCTTACGTCATCGGAGAACTTTTCCCCCTCGTTTGTTTGTTGGAGTGGTGCCAGGTACTGGTTTTGGCGAACTTGTCTACAACCAGGGATTGATTTTTAAAGATGTCCTTTTTTTTTTTTTTTTTAATTTTACATTATTTTTTAGCAGCCCATTTTGTTCTATTTTTTTTTTTTTAAGCCCCCTTTCCCACAGATCCCATCTCACATCATTGTTACCACCATTCCGACAGGTCGAGGACAGTTTAAGACAGCTTCCTCTGCCTTCTTTCTTCTTTGTTTTTTAACTTTTTTTTTTTTTTGCATCAGTATTAATGTTTTTTGCATACTTTGCATCTTTATTAAAAAAATGTAAACTTTCTTTGTCAGATCTATGGACATGCCCATATATATGAAGGAGATGGGTGGGTCAAACGGAATATCAAATGAAGTGATAGGGTCCACTATGGGAAATCGCAGCAGTGCATAATATTGCCAAGATAATATGCCACTAGAAATGATGGTGTAAAGGCTTAGGGTTTTTGTTTTTTGTTTTTTGTTTTTGTTTTTTTAAAGAAAAGTTATTACGATGTATTTTGTGAGGCAGGTTTACAACACTACAAGTTTTCAATAAGAAGGAAAGAGAAAAAAAATAAATGAATAAAAACACCAATACCCAGATTTAAAAAAAAAAAAGATCATAGTCTTAGGAGTTCATCTAAACCATAGGAACTTCTCGCTTATCTCATGTTAGCTGTACCAGTCAGTGATTAAGTAGAATTACAAGTTGTATAGGCTTTATTGTTTATTGCTGGTTTATGACCTTAATAAAGTGTAATTATGTATTACCAGCAGGGTGTTTTTAACTGTGACTATTGTATAAAAACAAATCTTGATATCCTTCAGAAGCACATGAAGTTTGCAACTCTCCACCCTGCCCATTTTTGTAAAACTGCAGTCATCTTGGACCTTTTAAACACAAAATTTTAAACTCAACCAAGCTGTGATAAGTGGAATGGTTACTGTTTATACTGTGGTATGTTTTTGATTACAGCAGACAATGCTTTCTTTGCCAGTTGTCTTTGAGAATAAAAGAGAAACAAACCTTCAGATGCAATGGTTTTGTGTAGCATCTCGTCTGTCGTGTTTTGTAAATACTGGAGGAGCTTTGACCAATTTGACGTAGAGCTGGAATGTAACTTTGCTTACAAACATTGCTATTCAACTCCTGCTTAAGGTGTTCTAATTTTCTGTGAGCACACTAAAAGCAAAAAATAAATGTGAATAAAATGTACAAATTTGTTGTGTTTTTTTATGTTCTGAGGCTGACTTCTAGGTCTTAGGTTAATTTTTAGGAAGACCTTGCATGCCATCAAAAGTCCATTGGTTGTGGTTTCTGATATGGCGTTTTCAAGCTCTGAAATTCATAAATCAGCAGTGTCCGATTACATATGTAGGGCGATCTTATACTGTGTCAACCGTTACCATTTATCTGCTTTTAGTTTGCATTTAAACATTGAAAATGACTTTTACTGTAGTTATAGCATGCCAGATTGAGTCATTTAAGACAAAAGTGGTTCGACCCTAAGACTATTTAAAACTGTCTTATGAGAGTATTTCATAAACCATTTTCTTGTCATATAGCTCCAGAAACTTCAATTTTATAATCACTAAGAGTGTTGAGTTTAGGCTGCACGTAAGTCATGAAAAGACGGCCAGGTGTGTTTAAATGTTGGTGGTATATGACCTGCTAGTACAAGGTTTAGCATTTGATTAATTTTCAAATGATTGCTTACGTGATGTGCTACACCTTAAAACAGGTTTCTGTACAGCAGTAATGGTGTTGAATGGGCAGCCTTATCAGTTCATGGGCCATCCATGTAGCTGCAAGCCCCTGCTTTTTTTTTTAAATCAAAGTGTTAGCATCTTGTCATTCAGAAGGAAAAGATACTTCTTATCTATTAATTCTTACTAGTTTACTTTGCTTTTTTTGTCATCTCATAACTGGATATTTTTACTGGACCCTAAACTGTTGGAGTTTATGGCCATTGCTATATTAAATGCAAAATAGTCCACCCGTTGTGCTGTTCTTGAGCAGGATGGGGTTCAGGAGAAAGCTGAACCCCGCCTGTGGTAGCACCTCAAGATGACATCGTATTGATAAAGGATGATAGTTAGCTTGTCGATAATGCTCCTATAATTGAAATAATGGATCAAAATTAATCGTTCCTTTTCTTCCTAAACACCCTCCCCACTAATGCAACCAAGTAACATTTGGAAGAGGAAACTTGATCCTGATTTTTGGAAGATTAAAGTCAAACCTGGTAACCAAAGGACTGATGTGTGGGCCCTTCCCACTTTAACCAACTTGTTTGAAAATCCCTAGTTGGCCAAGTATGGTGCCTGTATGTAGTAGGTCTCAATTGAAATGGATTTTGAAAAATAACTCCTGAAGTGAGTAGTTAAGAATACTGTGTAGAAAACAATTCTATATTGCTAGGTTTGTTCTTTTAACAGCTGGGGTTTATTAAGATGCATTATTTTGATTTTAATCACTGCCTAAAACACTCTGGGTGGTATCGATGGAGTGGCGGATTTTCCTGCAAGTGACTAAATGCAATTTGACATACTTTTCATCCAAAGTTTTGTACATCCTGTTGTTTTCTAATGGAAAAAAAAAATGTTAATATGGCTTTTTTGTACTACTAAAAATAGCTTTGAGATTAAGGAAAATAAATAACTCTTGTACAGTTCAGTATCGTGTTATTAAGTCTGTACTGGCAGTGTGTACAGTGCCATTTGCTGTGGTTATAAAACACTTACTCTGGATTATAATAATCATTTGGTCCAATTCCTATTGCTTGTAAAATAAAGTTTTACCAACTGATATAATCAAGCCTGCTAAATAGGGTGTTTTACAAATTTTATTTTTAATTCAAGTTTAGAGAAAATTAAGTGTTAAAGGTGTTTAGGATTGAGAAGACACATGCTTGATATTGTACTTAGAGTGTAAAACTTCTTCAGTGAGTTACTGAATAAGTCAAACGTAACAAGTCATTCATGTTTTTTCCACATATGGACATAAATTTAACAGAGCCTTGTTGATCAAGTTAAGGAGTTAGGGCACATGCTGTCTGAACTGTTGTGTTAGTTTAGTTTTCTTGAGACAGGCTCTTAATGTGACCCAGGTTGGTCTTGAACTGGCAACCCTCTTGCCTGTGTTGGGATTACAGAAGTGTGCCACCACGCACAGCTGAACTCACTTTCAGTAGATCCCTTAAGAGTTGGTGGGAGTGAGGTGTATAGTTCAATATAGGTGCACTTAACTTTGAACATGTAAAAATTGGTTAGGTAACTTGGCTGTTAGATCCGACCTTGTTCATCATTCACTACAAATTGAACAATCCCCCTCTCTGCTTCCTAGCCAAGTGATGGTACTCAAAGCATGGTGTAGCAAATAGAACTTAAGTCCACAGATCTTCCAGTTCTAGGAATTTGAGTTGGAGTGCTTGAAATTATGCCCAAGAATGTTGTTCTGAAAATACGTAAAGAGGTTCTGGGTGAATTTCAACAGACTTGATTTAGTCTTTGTATTTCTAATGGTTAAAAATAAAAGTATTAAATAAGAGTATAATTGATAAAAAACCAATGGGATTACCCTTTCCTCCCTTGCATTTTACCTTTAGTTATGGGAAAAGCATGAATCATAAAATCACTTTTCACTGCTACATGTTTGTGGGGTTTTGTTGTTTTAGTTGTAGGGAGGTCAGGGCAAAATTGAAGCAATTTTTATCTCCAGTTTCTTCAACCCCAAAAGTCTTTTTGAAATCCTCTTTCCAGGACAAATTGGAAACGTTTCATTGTTTACAATTGTGGCTCTTGTAATCCAAATGGTAATTCCTGGTTTGCTCTGCCTAATGAACTGAGTGACAGTGACTTTCCTGGAAACAGCTTTCTCTGCAGAGTGGAAGAGTTGGCATCATTTTGGAAACTATCCTAGATAGCAGCCTTTTTTATGAGGAAGTTTTAAAGATGTTTTGAATTTTAGAAGCATCTAATCAATGAATAAGTTCAGGACCCCCAAAGCAAAATCTCATTTCGTATCTTTTTCTTTTGTTTTGTAGTTATTTTGTTTTTTGTTTTTGTTGTTTTGGGTTTTTGTTTGTTTGTTTTGTTTTTCAAGACAAGTTTTTTTGTGTAGCCCTTCGAAGTCTTAGAACTTCACCTGTAGACCAGAATGGCCTTGAACTCACAGAGGTCCATGGCCTCCCAAGTGTGGGGATTAAAGGCTTATACCACCTCTGCCCAGCTCATTTTCGTATCATAACTATATTTCATCTTAGAGAAGTATTTACACTCTATGAACTTTATGACCCTGTATTGGAAATGTGAAGAAACACCCTTTTATACATGTTTATTGAGACCTCAGTGTTCAAGAATAAGATGGCTAACACTTTATGAAATTTGGAGGTAATTATAAGGTTCTAACTCCACATTACAACGATAACAGCCTTCAAGTATTACAATATGAACCTTCCATGTAATCATTTTGTTTCTGTCCTTGAGAGGCTAAATACACAGCAGAATGATGTGGTATGCTCCTGGATATACAAGGAAAAAAGAAATAAAATCATCTTTATAGTCATTTCAATCTGAAGGATTCCACTGGAAGATTATGTTGCTGAGGCAGCTAAATTTGCATTTGTGTTAGCTACATTGTGTGCAGCTGGGCCATGCTGAGTGTGTTCAAGAGACCGTGAACCTCAGCAGGCCTTGTAGTGTGACAAGGGGTAGTCCCGACTGACCCTTCTATTTATTACTATTATTTTGCTAAAACTCTGTATTCTCATAGCTGCACTGCAGGAATGCCACCGTATTGGACTTTTGACTCTTTTGAAAGTGTAGTAGAACTTTGCTTGACTCCTTCATCTTCCTCTTCTTCTTCCTCACACGGCCTTCCTTCTGCTCATTCCTCCAACAAGGAAATCCAGTCACCACAATGTGCCCGCCCATGTGAAACAAAGTACCTCAGCGATGATAATGCAGAAACTGTAAAATTCTTACTCCGAGAGTCTGTGTGACATTGACTTCACATGCTAAAGATGATTTGCTGGAGGCAATCAGAATGAAAGAGACCAAGAATGAGCTTGAAATGTTCTCTTCTTTCTCCTGTCTTTCTCTCTTTTTGAGATGAGGGTTTTTCCGTGTAGCCCAGCCTCATCTCAGATCTACAATTCTCCATCAGGTTCCGGAAAGCTGGGTTTAATTTTTTTCCTTATTGTCATACCATAAGCTTGTTCTTAAAACTGACATTTTTATTTATTTATTTTTTGGTTTTTCGAGGCAGGGCTTCTCTGTGTAGTCCTGGCTGCTCTGGAACTCACTTTGTAGAGTAGGTTAGCCTCAAACTCAGAGATTCGCCTGCCTCTGCCTCTTGAGTACTGGGACTAAAGGTGCGTGCCACCACTGCCCATCTTAAAACTGACATTTTTTTATTACTGGATTTCTGAGCAGTTCTCAATGGTTCCGTGGATGGTCTTACAAAGTACCTTAGAAAGATACAGATGCTGAGCTAACCTGGATAGTTTAAAGCTTTTTGTTCTTTGGGCTTTGAACTACTAAGACGTTAACCTTAGTGTACAAGGGTTCTGCATGCACAGACTCAACAAACTGGATTTCAAATAATTTGGAAAATGCTGATATTTGGAATGTGTAGGCATTTCTCTTTACTCCTTAAATAATGCAGTATAACAAAGCATTTATATTGTACCGGGTATTACAAGTAATTTGGAGAGGATTCCTTCAGGGGGAATATGTGTAGATTATTTGCAGGTGTTTTCTATCGGGGACATGAGTGTGCTTGGATTTTATTATTTGCAGGGGGCAGAGTTATTTTATGTATCAAGTTAGTTAGCTTTTTTTTTTTTTTTTTTTTTTTTTTTTTGTCTAAAGTGATGTTGAGTGTTTTGCCATGTTATAATTTCAGATAATTGGAAATAAGATGGATGGCATTTTTCTCACCCTTTAATTACTATAGTATAATTATATTTAAATATTACCCAAA